TTTTTTTTTTTTTTTTTTTTTGGTTGCTTGGGTTTCTATTGGCGGCTGCAAGGCTTCACCGTTGCAAAGGATTGACAAACCAGGACCGGGGGGTGAGACCCAAGTCCGATCAAGGAGCCAAGGCCTACTACCCATAGGCCCTAACGTAGTTCCTTTTTGGGGTTCATATATAGAGTCCTATAAGGTAACCCCAAAAAGGAACTACTATGGGGCCTATGGGTATACTAAATTCGAGGAAAGTTGATGAAGTGTCGACACCGATTGTCACGAACTGTTCTGACGACTTGTAGCATGCCACCATGTGCGATCACTGCCCACAGAACCGTCGCTAGCCAGGAACTCCCCTTGCACCATCCCTACAATTTCCTAATGCACACCTCCGAGTGGATGCCGTCTTTCAAGCGATCCTCGTGCTCCTCTTTCAACTTCTTGCTCGGCTTCCTCTGGTCACTCGGTCCGTGTTGCTTCACGCATCAAGGTTGGTTTTGACACGCTTGGGTGGGCATTGAGCTGCTATGATCTCTGAACTTCGACATCAGGGGACTTTGCAGCTTCCTTTCTACAGAAACCTCCAGACAGAACCTTCAGGCCCGGACATTGGAGGCATACACAGTTCATCATGTCTGGTACCCGATTTCTTCACGAAAAGCCGAGCAACTAAGGCCCAAAATAGCAACGCCGCGCGGCTGAGTCTTCTCCAAGTTTGCCAGGCAGGCAGGCTTTCCATAACTTTCAAGCAAACTCTGCTATTGGGAGCTAGGATTAGGGGGACCCTTATGGATATAGACCCTCTCCATAAGGTCCCTTTTAAGAGGGCCAAAAGTAGGGTTCGAGCGACCGAAAGCGCACATCCGTGCCGATAAACCAAGATGATGAGCAAGGAGCAGCCGCTTGTGCTTGAAAAACAAAAATTGCATCGATGCTTTACTTTGTGGATGAACAACCAACCGCAATGACAACAGCGATGCAAGCCGTACCACATCGTCATGACGGTACGACTGATAGAAACAGCTTGGAGTACATGACCATCGCAATCACAACAGTGAAATTGCATGTGTCAAACCGCTGCGGTTGAGTAGCTCCAACTTCGCCAGCTCTTCGCCCGCTGTGAAGAGACAGCCGGCACGAAGCAGATCAGCAATGCCTGGGTGATTGAGGACTGGCAGACAAGGAGTGCGTATCAGGTGCTGACGGCGGTGGCGGCGGCAGTGGTGGGGGTGGTGCTGGCTGGTGGTAGCAGCAATCCTCGTCCTCGTTCCCTGCTTCGTGCGTGCCGCAGCCAGGCATCTGAGATGCAGCTAAAAAGTTCGAGCGCAGGAGAACATTCAAACGGTTCAAATGACTGCCTTACTCATGATGCTGGCCATATTCAATTTAGTCTCGATCGGGGAGCGGCAGTCTGATGGCACAGAAGGGCTGAAAGTGTTTCAAGATTTCGCACGCGCTGGTTGGAGGGTTGAATGAAGGAGTTCATGCTGAGATTTCTTGCAGTCATGTCGGCACAAGCTATACCAATCCCAAGGGAACCCACCCTAAACCCTCTCCACCCTTAACTCTCCCTTTGCACCCTCAACTCTGCAAAGACTCAAATCCTCGATCTGTTCTTCCGAGGTACGGCTCTCTGGAGACTCCACTTTCTTGCACACGAGCTTGTGGGTCTCAGGGATTTGTTGGCATCACGGGCACCCAAACACTTTGCGAGCAACCTGCGCGACTATCCCTGGGGCGTTTTGTTCCGTCCCAGTCTTGCAAGTCGCGTATCACAATCAGCCCTTACAGCCACATGCTTGGTACCTAAGCTCTGTTGCTTTGAGTCACATGTAGTCTCAGCACACTTCCCTGCTTGTCGTTTGTCTAGGCTTAGGACTTGGGACAGTGCGCACAGAATCATGATGATAACTATCATGGCCAGGACAAGCCTGTTAGAAAGTGCATCAGCCAGTATTCGCTCTGCGAAGTCTTTGTTTCAGGTCTGAGTCTTTCTCAGCAAGCTGAGCCCTGCACCTTCCAGTCCTTCCGCTGGCACTCTGCTGAACAGTAGGCCACCACTCCACAGCGGCTGCATCTTAGGGGTCAAGAGTATTCTCCCACCAGCCGAACTTGCGGACTCATTATGTAGCCTGCGGGTAGGAGGACCAGGACCCTCTAGAGTAACGTCTTAGTCATTGCCACAAGTGCTTCCATTATTGTCTCCTTGCTGTAAACGGCTGAAGTGGTGAGGCAGTATCCTTATCCTGCTCGATGTTCGGACGTGTCGAAGCAAGTTGCGCACGGCTCTCAGTGACCAAGCAGCGACTTTGGCAGAAGTTCCTGCGGTCCGTATGGGAGCTTAGTGCAATTGCCGCACGACATAGACAGAATCCCTGAACCTTAAACCATTTTTTCAGCACGGACTGAGGTGACACCCTAAACCCTAAACCCAAAGCCCTAAACCTTACGAAAAAATCCAAGTCGCTGCTTCGTGCCGGGCAGCTCGCAGCCGGAACCCGCACAAACCGACTCGCACAGCTTGGCCATGGCTTGCAGCACTTTCTCATATTTTTAGGCTTCAGGCTTCAGGGTTTAGGGTCCAGGGTTCAGGGTTTAGGGCTTTGGTTTAGGGTTTAGGGGGGTTGTCCCTCTCTGGACTGTGGCTTGGGATCTGCTGGGGTTGGAGGTTTGAGGGCTGCTGGGTACTAAGACTATGATACGGAGGCAAAATTGTGGTAAACCAGATTTGCGTGTTTGGGTCTGCATGCTCAGGGTGCACACCTGCAAAGCCCCCAGCTAGCAATGCTTGTGGACGGAGAGCCATGTTTCCTGTGGTCATTTCTGGACAGCGGCTTTGCAGGGACGACGGCCGCACGCACGGGGTGTTGTTCTTGTTCCAGTGATCATCAGAGTTTTGTTCTGTGGAAGGTGCTAAAGTTTGGAACGACCTCGGTCGCAGTATCTCCGAGACTTACGCCAGACGTGGAAACAGGAAGAGGGGCGCGTTGCAGCTTCGCAAGTGCAGCCATGTAGAGTCCGCTGGTAAGACTCAGTGACCGGCACATTGCTGGAAGGTGCAGGCGCGACTGGCTTGGAAGGTGCGGGCGCGACTGGCTTCGGCTGGTGGATCTGCTGAAACCTCGGCGAGTGGTCACATGTCCGGGATCGCTAGCCGCTCGCATGGTCAAGCTTCGGGTTCGTCATATGATTTCGGCCACCTAGGCTTTCACGACGACTGAAAGGGCAGTGTTTATTATCCTGTTCATAGATCTGCCCATGATCTGCAGAAAATGTCGTAGCATCACCTGATACTCCAGCCAGGCATTGCTCAGGGGTAACAGGCGAAGCCCTCCTCCAGCAACCAGGGAACTGCAGCTCGCTAGAGGAACGCACGTACTTACAACCCTATGTGCAGCAGGAGCATTCGTCGCTGCTGTTCAATGGAAAAAGTTTTGTGCTCTTCCGGGGGCTGTGGCGCACTGCGCCAATTACTCCTCTTCCGTCAAGGGTACAGTAGCAGGTAGAAAGAGACGACTGCTGTCTTTGAACCATCCAGCCGAGGATTGTCAATGTAATGGCAGCAGCGATGGTGTAGTAGCCTCTGAAGCTATGGCCCAGGATTTCGAATTTCGGGACATCATACTTATGGAATTATGAGGGTCCGTATCACCCTGGGCACAGAATTTCGATCGAAGACATCGCTCGAGATCCCGATCTTGCTTCTATCGATAATGTTCCAGCAATAGCTGAAACACGATCGAACCGTGTGTCCATCACGACACCAAGTTCGACCTGCAAAGAAACAAACACGCCCAGGCACATAGTCGTCATGGCCTGCATTTGCGCCTTGGTGAGTCACGCAACTTGGACTACACCCAAGGTCATCGACACTACGAGAAGAGATCAAAGCGAAAGCGCCAACACTCAAGACAAGCTACCGCGAGGCTCATCTGCTCGTAACCGGGGGGTACAGCTCCTGTCAACGGAGACATTGGCGCCAAGCCAAACACAAGCACCGCCTAAAAGTACTGCATAGATCTTCTCCAGGCAAACACGGAAGAGCCTGCCGCCATGGCATGTGCAGCGAATGCACCTGGCTTCAGGGTGGAGTGTGAGATGGGCTATGCCTTTTGCATCGTGTCAGGCTGTACCTTCCGAACAATATTAGTAAGAAGAATTCGAAGAATACTAAGGACAATAATAGTCTTAATCATAATAACAATAATAACAACAACAATAACTTGTCCACAGCATTTTTTGCCCCACAGGCGACGGAGTTGGCCGAAGCTTACAGGACACGCTGCACAGCAGGTTTGGGCACTGCTATTGCAAGGTGTCGATGTCGGGCAGAAGCTGTCCCGTGGTCTTCTTTTTGAATGTGCTGGCGCTTCTGCCATTGCGGAAAACGAGCTGGAAGGAGCCAGGGGTGGTGAGCTCCAAAACATCGGTGATGCCACTCCAGCTGACGGCCATGTGCTTCTTGGGGCCTGCCGGCATAATCTTCCAGTCACCCCAGCCCCAGCTTGTTCGTAGCTTCCCTTGGCTGCGAAACTCTATCCTGCCAGATTCTGAAACACCATTGTAGGAATAGCTCCAGCACCGTTTCCCGGAGGCATGCCAGTCGTGGAGCTCGTGGTCACTGGCCATGGGGGGACTTTGCTCATCCACAGGTGGCAGGCCTTGACCATGACCACTATGGCGCCCAGCAGATTCTGCGACTTTGCAGAGCTCCATGGGGACTTCCTGGTGGCAAGCATCCAGGACCTCCATGAGCTCCCTGGCCAAGAAGGCATTCCAGTTCTGAGGCTCGAAGAGCGACACAGCACGGCCGGACTGACCATTGCGGCCCGTGCGGCCCACACGGTGCACATAGGTCTCAATATCGCCTGGAAAGTCATAAATAAACACGAGGCTGACGTCAGGAATGTCCACCCCTCTCCCAAGCACATCTGTGGTGATCAGGACTCGAATATGTCCAGATCGGAACTGGTTTAGAGTGGTCTCGCGCTGGGATTGTTGCCGCAATCCGTGCATCACACCACCTTACTTTATGCGGCTCCGCAGTATGCACTATAGTTTATGCACAACCAACAACATGAACAAGAACCGTCACACCAATCTTTCATCGAAGGACACGTCTGGCCGAACTCGTCGGCGATGAGAATTGCCAGTTCTTCTGCTGCAGCACGCGTCTGAACGAACACGAGGACTTTGCCACCTCCCTGACCTATGGGTCGATGGTGGAAACTACCAAACGCATCCAAACGCTAAACCCCAAGCCATCCGGTAGGTCTACATGAACAACATTTCCAAGTTTGCCCGGGTGGCGCATCGACTTCTGAAGGTTCGCGGCTCGCAGGTGATGCAACCTTGTCGGGTTAAGGGTTTAAGGGTGTTTAAGGCTTGCCTTATACGCAAAACGAACCTGTATGCATCCCGTGAGAGCTTGTCTTGTCCGCTAGCATTGCTTTCAGGGCCAATCACATCCGCGTCAGATGAAGGTCAGCCAACTGCCAAAGCTGTTGTTCGAACAAGACCCTGGCAGAGGAATTTAGGGTTTAGGGTTTAGGGTTTAACCCCACAACCAAGAAGAGAACCTTGAGCCTGCATAATGGGCCCCAAAACCCTATTCTAATTATTAAGGCCCCTTCATTAGGGCTCAGGGGGGTTTTGGGCCAGTGACATAATATTCAAGGGCCTTATTTATAATCATTGGAAAATGGTTTGGCGGCACATTTCACTATGTACCTAGAACCAGGAACCCCAAAATGTATCAGTCTGGAAAGACTACCCATAGGCCCCATAGTAGTTCCTTTTTGGGGATTCGCTAATAGGATCCTAAAAATAAGCCACAAAAAGGAACTACTATGGGGCCTCTGGGTACTCTGTAGCGGTCAGGATGTGGGCTTCATATCTTTCCGGGTCTTCTCAAACCCTAATATCAACAATACGTATCTTGACCTGTTCCAGTCGGGAGCGTCTGCGGCTTCAGGCTTTTTGAAGCTTGGGTTTACGGTTTAAAGGTGGCCTGGGGGTTTGGTAGGATTTCGGGTTTTTGAGACTGTGGGGCTCTTGGAAACAGCATAGTGAACGATAGGAGAAAGCGCGAGCAGCATGTAGTGGAAATGTGTCTTAACCCCTGTGTTTAGGGCTACCGGCACCACCGGCCCAAACCCTAGTAAAACCCCAAAAATTCTCGCGACCAAGTAGCAGGATGTCGAGTTTGGCGCGACGATTGCAAACCTGTGTGTCGAGATGCCCCGCGAAAAACCCTCAAACGGGACCAACCTTGAGGCGACCCCTGAATCCAATGCCTAATGTGGCACAGACCACCTGCGACCACGAGGACGGCAGGACACCACGGACCATCGGGCTACAAGGCTTTCCGCAAGTACTGGCAGGATAGAGAACATGCACCGTGCCACAGCCGCGCCCCGATTCCTGCCTCCTCACCTTGGGAGAACTGAGGATGACTTGACTAGGCTGCATACCCCTCTGTTGATCTTCTCTCCTTACGATCCCAGTGCAGAAAGTGCAAGTAGCCTCGACCATCTGTTGGATTGCCGTGGGAGGCAGAGCGACATTTGTGTCGTCGGCGCCTGAGTTGTGCATCTGGTATAGTATAGTACCATCTCGTATGCAATTGTATGGCATGACATGGTATGGTATGGTGTGGGTGGGGTAGAGTGTGCAGTATACTTGTGCAGAAAAGTGTTTCGATAGCATAGTATGGCATAGTGTAATATAGCATAAAAACTTATAGTATAGTGTAGTATAGTATAGTAAAGTATAGTCCAGTATAGTCTAATATAGTATACAGTATAGTACACGTAGAGTAGGGGACAGTATAGTATAGTATAGTATAGTATAGTATAGTATAGCATAGTATCGTACAGAACAGTATAGTACAGAATATAGCAAGGCATACATAGTACTGTAAAATACATGGTATTCTATACAATAAGTACGTCGTAAAGTATATAGCATGGTTTACTTATAGTATGGTACACAGCATGGCGTTCAGGATGCTTCAGTAAACTGCAGTATAAAGTATATAATAGTATATAGTATATCGTATATGGTATATATATATATATATACTCTACAACACATAGTAGACAGTATAGTATGTGCTGTAGAGCAGTGTATAGTGTAGTATACTGTAGTGTAGTGTAGTCTAGTCTAGTCCAGTCTAGTCTAGCCTCCTCTCGCATTAGTAGAAAACAGCACATCGTAGACAAGGAGCTGATGCACTGATCGACAATAGGCCTAAGAACGACCTACAGCATGAAATCTGCTGTACACCGGCCAAAGCTGGCGTGCGAACTCCTAGCTCTGCGTTGGGCGTCCGGCCGGGCAAAACATCGTCCTGGACGTGTGCCAGCTCCAAGGCTACACGGCCTGAGCACAGCAGCAACACGAACTCGAAACTTGCAACCGAAATTAGACTTGCAATGACGGCCGTGACGACACCAGGGACCACAGCAAGGTGGACATTAAGCATGTGCCGTGGCACCGACCGTAGAACTGCAACCCTCTGCCTCTCT